GAGACATTTCTGTTCATCCTTATTCAGGGAAGCAGTTAAACTTACTTAAGTGCCTCCCGATTCCAGGATATATTTCTTGTGCTGTCTTGAGTAAAGATGACTTTTTGTTTTAGCACCGTAATGACAAAGCTAACCAATCTGATTGTCAGCTGCAGTTTTCTCTAATCTCTCAAAACCCTACTAGAAGAGCCCCTGTTATTTGCTGTGTACTGCCATCACGTTGCCTTTGTAAAGACTATTAGGAGAGTCAACCTCTCTTATACAGGATGATCACTATTTTGTGGTGATTCAAGTAAGTCCCAGGGCGCAGCTTTGCTCTTCCTGGTGTGTGTGTATATATTTGTTATGTGTTCTATTACCTGATGCTTATTCTAGATTATTATTCTGTAATTTATTGAACAGGTGACTTCTGAAATTGTCAGGTCTCTTGGCAGAGAATCGTATAAATGTTCTTTCTTTTTTTTGTTGTTTTTGATACTAGTAGCTGGATGTCCAGAACATTTTTGGTACAGCTAAACTTAAGACAGATATTTTTACCAAATGTTTTAGAGACTCTAATGTATTTCCTGGCAGAGTGGTTGTTATTCACATGACAAGAACCCTCTCGTAAAAGACTCCTGGGGTGAAACTAATAATCAGTAGACATTTTGAAAAAAATCCCCTGTAGCATTTTACTCAGCTTTGCAGTGTTTACCTCTAAATACAGATGCTTATGCAGGGAAGGGAGCTGCTAAATGTTTTCTTTTGTGCCAGTGTTGTCAAAAAAACGTTCCCCAGTTTGAGTGAGATTGTGGTAGTTGGGAGCAGAAAGGAGAGGAAAATTCTATTCTCTTCTAATTCAGAGGTCAGTAGAGTTAAGCTACCATTAAATTTGGGGCAGATATTTTAATGAATTCCATAAGTATCGCAATGGAGTAGAAATAATGGGAACACAGAGAGGCTATTTCTTATTTCCTTTGAATTATAGCGTTACTGCTTCTGGCCAAGCAGTTACAGCAAACAGGCTGGCTGAAAGGGAATGAATTTTATTGAGGCAAATCTTTGATGAAGAATAAATATTTCAAAATGAAGCATAATTGTTTCAATAATACATTATATTACTTTCTCTTTATGAAATTAAACTGTTTCCACTTATTTCAATGTCTTTGCATTTGTTTATGCTTTGCAACAAACGAGTGAGCAGGTTCAGGAATGGTAAGGGTGAGAGCGTATCTGTAGCTTGTTCTTCCAAACATTTTGTAAATTAAAACTAAGAAATCATAAAATAGAAGTAAAGGAGCCTGGTAAATATAATCCTTTTTATCAAATGATACCTTCTGTAGCTGCATGAACAGAAATGTCTTTAAACATTGAGAGACCAAAACATGTGCCCATGCTGACTATCTCTTTATATTCCTTCACTGTCCACTTAATTATGGTTGATTTATTATATAGTACCATCTTCCATGTGTAAAGAACATGAAATCATGTCAGGAGAGGGTAATTGGATCAAGGAAAACTGTGAAAGTAGTTTGGGTTTCACCCACATGAAAATGCTCTTTCTCACCAGGTGACACACTCAGCTGATCCACAGAGAACCCAAAGTGGGATAATCTTATTGACCTCCATACTGGATCTTCATCTGATGCAGATCAGTATAGCTCCATGTGCTTTAATGAACGTGCATCAGTTCAGGTCGGCTGAGGAAATGAATTAAAGGTGGTGACACTGATGATGCACCACTTGCAGATCTTACAGATTTTCTGTATAACATTGACATTCCTACTGTTTGTTTAAAAAGTTTTTGGTGTCAAGAATATTATGGAAATGAACAGAAAATGTTTTACAATAGAAGCATTTAACAATTTGTGGACTGGTGAGCTATATACAGGGCATGGTAATTCATTTTTACAGTTACATTATATTACAGTTGTAATGAACACTATTGATTTTCTATTAATACTAATATGTTTAATGACCTTTCTAATGGCATCTGTCACTAGTGTTTCCTCTCAAATTCTAGTGGCATTTTCCTTTCAGTAAAGTAAGGGATTACTATTCTCATTGTATTGTTAGAATGAAAATTACTATTCTTTTTAAAGTAATATGGTGGCTTAAAGATTTAATCAGTTAAAAAAGAAGAAATTTATGCTTTAGAAGCTGTCCATATTTTGGAGAAATCTTCTCGCTGAGAAAATAGTTGTTTGAGCATTACGTGTCAGATTAGCTTTTTATTATCAGATTTTGCTAATTAGTAATAAGTAGGATTTGTAGAGTTTCAGTGTTAAATTGTTTCTCTTAGGTGCTTTTCCTTTCAGAATTAAGACAGAGCTTGTCCTAAGGAAGCTCTTTGTTTTCCACTGCTTATTTTCTTTTATTGCATTAGGCACTATAAAACTTCAGCTATTAAACACCAACAATTTAAAGTTATGGTAGTTCTCACCAAGCAGGGAAGTGTTGGATTATTGCCAGATTCACTACTAATATAACTTTCAGGGTAAGAGTCATAGAAAGTGACTGTGAAACTGTTAAATGACTTGTTCTCACTCTTGGAACTACGTAATTTTGTCCTCTGTGTCTCTCGATAATCACAAGTGATTTGCAGGACATCAGTATTTTCATAAACTACTTATTCTAGATCTGTTAAGAAAGGTTCCACATGATATGTATGAAGTGCATTACAGGTAGAAACATCTTCCAGTTAATCTGGTCTAATTCTGGTGCAAAAGAGACATACTTCTGGGTACTCCAAACAGGCACGCTGTGATGTCATTCTCAAATCTACCACTCTGAAAGACGGTACTTTGGGGGTTGCCATAACAACATCAGCCAGTCATTGTCTGACACTACAACATTATTGCAGGAGCTTTTAGGGAGTATTAACCAAAATAGAGTCACCATGCATTTTGGTTAGTATGGTGGGTAAGAATGTCTGAGCTGTGTACTCAGACACTAAATATACATCATATTTTCTCTGTACATGTATGATTGGAATGACCACATTTTTCTGAAACTCTTTGGAATATCTGTGCAGTATTTTAAAGTAGTATATTACAGTACATGTGGCAAAAATGGTGTAAAATGGTCTGAAGTTATGCATATTTACTTAGTGTTTATGTAATAAAATGAGTTAAGATAGTGATTCAGAAAAGCTGAGTGTGTACCATGATATATAATAGAAAAAGTTTCATCTGAGTAGTCCTTTGCATGCAGCATGAAGAGCTCACGATCAGGTTTTCTTCCTTATTGTATACCACATTCTGCAAAAATCCAAACCGTAGCTTGAAATTCATGTTTAAACAACTAAAATACACATGAGATGTGGGTGGAAGAAGAATATTTAATTACTCGAACCAGAAATTACGGTTTACATAATAAAAAAAGCCAGCGTGCTTTAAAGAGATTTCATACATCTGAACCAGAGAAAGCAAGCTTGCCAATAGCAGGAGCTAATGCTTCAATACCTTTCATTTTATACTCTGAAAAGGAAACCTCTTCTTAAGCTCATTCATTTTCCAGAGGGAAAATCGAATGCTGTGGTGTATTGTCAGAGCTGCTTTATTGTCACCATTTGCAAAGGTCACCTGAATTAATTGACTTCTTACCATACATATCGTTAAGGTACCCGTTTCCTGACATTTATGGAAAGGTGGCAGGCTTACAGCCATTGGCTATCTGTTGAGGCTTGTTTCACAATGTTTGTTTCTCAGAAAACAGTAACTCTAAAATTGCGAGCAAATGATTGTATTGCTGCAGAGAAGCAGATTCTCTCTGATGTTCGCTAAGGTGTGCAGGAGTCGGGGGGGGTGCAGGAGAGATACCGGATAAATAATTTGAATACTGATCAGTTTTTAATACACATAACATTCTGGAAAACAAACCGAAACATGCAGGAAGATTGAGGTTGTATTTCTTTTCGCTTTGAAGCATGCATTAGATAGCTAACCTGCGTTTTGCATGGTGTAAAGTAAAATCTCCCTCTGGCTTTCGCTGGTGCATGATCCACACTGATGGACTTTACTGAATGGGTTTTCATCTTAAGTGCTGCTAAGGTACCCTTATACTGGATGAAAGGAATGACAAGCACATGTATAAACACAAACACACTAGGCAACAGTAGCGCTGGCATGGAATTTTATGTTGATTAAATTCGTTAAATAGAAAATAGTTGTCTCTTTCCTAGCCCCCTGCGTTTACTGCCCCCTCAGTCTCCTTATATTGGCTTCTTCTCTTTCTGACCACCAGTGCTGGGCAAAAACTCAAACTAGACATGTGAAAACAAAGACATTGAAAGCAAAGACAAATAGTTTTGAGCTTTCCTGCACCAAAACAGGCAAAGGTGGTACAGTGATGGATTTGCACAATCAATCTGCTTATATGAAAATACACGTTAGGGGCACCCTGCTGCGATCGTGTTAATTACCAAAGAAGATTAGAACTCTTCTGCTTAATGCGATGCTTTTTACCTAGCGCGGCCGTTCCAGCTGCATTAGTAATCAGACATTCACGCTGTCCCTTCTGACTGGAAAGGGGATGTTTTTAAGGGAAGTCATTTACCACAGTGCTTCAGATGTAGCCTGGCAGAAATTCAATAACTGTTTGTGATATGCTCATTCAGCCTCACTGCTCGGTGGCTTTTAGGTCCTGACATAAACAGCATTTCCCGTATTCCTAGCAGTGGAGAGAAGGAAGGAGGCTGTCCTGTATCGTGTTTTATTGGTTCCAAAATACAGAGCAACTGTGTAATTTGATTTTGCATCTGAAACATCGGGGAAACGTTCTCCCTTTGTAACATTTTACCCTTTGATGTTCTTCCAGGCTGACAAATGCACAAATCTGATAGTCTTGCAAGCATATTTAGATCATCTCTGACACAAAAAAGCAAATTGCATTTGCATTTCTGTTTAGAAAGTAAAATGAGGAAATAAGCCAATAAAACAACTTTACAAAAAGAGGTCGGGGGGAGAGTTTACCAGGTATGATAATAATCAGGATAACATTTTAAATAAAGAGGAACTTACCCTATAATTAGAGTAGTTTCAAAGCTGGAGGAGTTCTCGCATCTCTGTAATTTTGATTCCTTAGTTCAGGTAACCACATACTTCTATTTCTGCCAGAGTCTGAAGAGACGTGCATACATGTATGCACGTGTGTGATTTTGCATGTGTGTGTGTGTGTGTGTGTGTGTGTGTGTGTGTGTGTATAATGATATATGATACAAAGACGTATCTGCTGATATCCTACAACACGAGAGAGACGCCGCGCTGCCAGCTGAGATCCCTTACGTTTGCCAGAGCGCTGTTGCTGCCTGAGGCTCGCAATCCAGCGGGGAGCGGGCGAGCGAGCTGCTCGCTAGCTCTTCTTATTTCTCCTTGTTTCCATGGTGGTTAGCGGTGCATCGTTCAGCCGCCCGGTTGTCACACTGACATGGTGCTGCCTGCTCAGCGGTCATTAATAACTGAGCCCCTTCCACTCCCCAGAGAGGAGCCAATGGCTTCGGCGTGCCCCGCTGCAGCGTAGTACGCGCGGCTGCGCCCGCCTG